GAGAAGCCTCCTCTGCCTCAGACCTGACTCATCTTAGCAGCCACCTGGTTGAGTAGATGTATCTTGGAGATGAGTATTATGCAGAAATATCATGGCAGATGGCCAGGGCAGAGCAAAGCAGATTGCTCCAGGGCAGAAAGCAGAGCTTGGGGGAAGAGCTCCAGAGAAGAAACAGCTAAGAACTAAATAGCTGAAAATCATGTCTCCACTACTCCCAGCCACACCCTGGAATGTCTTACTAATTTGGTGGTTATCTCAACTCAGTCATGTGAAAGAGCACAATTAACTGATCACATCTAATAACAATGCACAGCAGACACAGCCTTTTATTTTGGTCCAGGCTACTTTTTCCCTCTACATTTATTCTCCTCCACCGCTCATGCTTCCCATCATTTCTAAACACATGCAACATAAGCAATGCAGTAATAAACAATGTTAGAACTCTGTAACTACCACCTTTCATTTTACAGGTCACATGAACTCTCACTTTCAGGAATAATTGTGAATATGAACTGCAAAATGACTTTTAAGGTCCTTCTATATAACTATTGTTTTTAATCATAAACAGAAGGTTAGATTTTGTCAAAGGGTTTTTGAGTATACTGAGGTGGTAAGATGATTTTAGTAGTTGCTTCTACTAATGTAATTAGTATTAATGTGATTAAGTATCACAAATGTGATACTGATTTGCATATGCTGAACCATCCTTGCATCCCTGGGATAAAGCACATTTGGTCATGATATGTAATCTTTTTAAAGGTTTGCTGAACTGTTTGTTGCCATGTGCAGCACAGCTCTTGAAGTTGGGGGCAAGTTGATGGCCAAAGGATAGAGAAATAAAGGTAACAGACAATATACAGAAAACTAAGGTCAAGTGGAGCCCCTGCTTCATCTGTGAGAAAAAGCAACTACTCAACCACTGCAGGGCTTTTATTTATACATTTTTGCAGGTTGGTGTCATGCGATGCCCCTTTGCCTAGTAACCTTGGACTGGAGCAGTTTGTTTATGTGGCCTGTTACGGTACTCTTTGTTTTCAGACAGGCATTGCCTTGACCCCTCATGTGTGACCAATTTCCTTTCCTAGTATTTTCTTGAGGATATTTCTACTTATGATTAACAAGCTTGCTTCCAGGAGTGAGTCTGACAGTGCCCCTTCTGTTTTAATTTCATTATAAAGTTTAAGGAATACAGTGGACTTACTCATTTCTTTTTCCTTTTTTTTTTGGTCTTTTTCTTTTTTATCAGTACTGGGGATTGAATCCACGGCTATCTGCTTGCAAAGCAGGTGCTTATGCCGCTGAGCTAAATCCCCAGCCCCCGACTTACTCATTTCTGAGGGCTGTTGTAACTCAAATTGCAATTGAAGGCTCAGGCTCCCCTCACAGCCTTCAAAGTCTCTCTCTCCTGTATGCAGACATATCTCCGTCCTTTGAGAAACACTAGCCCAAGATTTCTCAACCCCATACAAGAAAGGATGTTTGAATGTTCCTTCCGGAACTCTTTTAAGGGTTAAATCTGGATCTGAGGAGAAGCACAAGTGGCCAGCATTTGGGTCCTAACTCGAGACTTGGACTCTTAGCTAAAACTAAAATTCCAGCCATAACCCAAGTTGTTTGTATGTCAGGCTGGCCGTAACTTGAGAGGCCACTTTATGGTGTTAGATCTCTCTGGAAGTTTTTGTACAATTTGGTGGGGACTCCATTGGGCCCTGCACTTTTCTTAATTGTTAGGTTTCTTTTTATTACTACCTCATTTTCACCAATTATTGGGTTATTCAAGGCTTTATATACTTTTGGTTATTCACATGACTCTTTGTATTAAATGTTTCTAGTATACAGCACTATTAGGTTTTGTTTTAGAATCTGACTTGCCAGTCTGATGATGGGGATGTTGAAACCATTCACATTGCTAGTTATTACTGAAAGGTACAAAACTGACTTATTCCCGTCACTATACTGTATTCCTGTTACTGCTCCTTGTCCTTTAAATTCTCATTGTACTTGGTAATGTTTATTCCACTAAAATTTCTTCGCGTTTTTTTTTTTTTTTTTGGTACTAGGGATCAAACTAATGACCTTGTACTTGCCAGGCAAATGCTTGTGCCAGTGAGCTAAATCCCCAGAGCCCTAGGGTATTCTTGAGAAGCTTTTGGGATGCTGATTTGGTGCTTATTAATTTTTAAGGTACTCTTTATATTGGAAAGACTATAATTCTCCAATTTTGAAAGGTGGTTTTACAGAATAGACATCACTGGTTTGGAAGTTGTTTTCAAACTCTTTAAGGTTTGTGTTGAGAAGTCTGTTATAATTCTAACAGGTCTAGCTTTAGAACTGATTCTCAACATTTTTCAGTGTGAAATCTTGTATGTCATTTGTATCAAAAATACTTTTCCTAGTCCATTATATTTTTTGGCACACAAGTTCTCATTTTAATCTGGCTTGTTTTCTATTATTTATAAATGAGTACATCTTAATTTCCTTAATAGTATTATAATTCATATATTTATATAGCATCTTAAATTTTGTACTTTATCATTTTTGATAGAATTCATTAGCCTAGCAGTAATGAGTTTTCTCTAAGATCTGATGCAACTGTAAGCCAACTCAAGACACCTGGGCATCCAACTCTATCACCTAATAGCTGAGAAGTACAATTCTACTTTGGTAGTTGTCCCTGGCCTACTCCACATGACCACAGTGGGTGTGGGATACTATGGGGCATTTGGCACACAAGTCACAGTACGTGCTCTGGTGGCAGCTCCCCAACCTAACCAAGCCTTGGTCCCCACTTCTGCCTTAGTCTCTCCAACTCAAGGACTTTGGCTTTCTTCCCAGTTTATTCCAAAGACCAAGGAGAACCCCCAGTTTCAGTGGGAAATCTCCTCCTCACAGGGAACCGCCAGCCCCAGAACACCAAAAGTAGTTTGCTGATTCCTAGGCCTAGGACTCATGACCCCTGGGGTTAGTCGGGCTTCATATGACTGGGACCACAAAGGGTGTACATCTCCCTTGCCATGGCCACTGACCAGCTTGTTGGCCACATGCTAAGGTGACTGTAAAGCTGGGTGTTTGTGCTTGGGTCTGTGTGTGTACAGGCAGAGGCGAGAGACTCAGTCTGGCAGGCACACAGTATCCCCTAGGTCACACTCTTTCCTCAACTAGCATCATGCCCACATTCAGTGGGAAAGACTCTTGCAATGAGACGAAAGGTTATCCAGGGGAGGGGAGCACAGTGCCCACCTCTGCACAAGAAGGTCTTTAGGACTGTTCTAAAATTTTGTGCAAGGGATGAGGAAGACAGGCAGAGGCTACTTCGGAGCAGACAGGCTAGATGTTTATCAGAGAGTTCTGTAACCTGGTTCTGACTTTTTAGACCTATAATTTCCAGAGGATGAAGGCATCTATGGCCTAAGCTTCACATGCCCTCCAGCAGCCACTCTGGGAAGGACCATTTGGTCTGAGCAATCAGGAAGCAGATGAGCTGTTCCTGTTTGCCTCCGAATTTCTTTACCTGCCAAATTCAAGGGCATAACAAAACACAAGTCTATAGATTTGGGACTGCTGGTTCCATAGATCTACACAACTACATTCCTTACTATCTCTCAAAATGGCCTTGCATCTTCTAGTCCTGTGTCCTCCTTTTCCTATGCTGCTAGCTCTTAGTCAGTAATGGTGAATCTTCTAAAAATTGAGTGCCAAACTGCAACACCAAACTCACTTACTTAGCACAAAGGGCAAACAATGCAATTAAATCTGAATGCTGAGAGTTCAGTTTAGAAAAAAGAATTCTACATTAAAATCTCTGACCTTAACAGAAAAAAAAAAAAAAAACCCACATTGGCTACAGATTCACCACCACTGTCCTAGGTTACCACAGGATTTGGGACCTAGGAGTAAGAAGCTAGTGGGTTCTGACTTACAGTCTCATCCTTTGGTCACAGAGTGGTGAGGGGAGGATGTGGTATTCAGGATGCTCCAATCCTGGCTACATGTTGTTGGGCCACCTGTTGGTCCTGAAAAAAAGGCTAACATTCAATTTGGGTTGCTGGATCTAAATACCTTGGTCACACTCATGCACTGTGCCTGACAAGTCAAAGCAGCAGGGCTGCTGGTGTCCTCTTAGCACCTGATCTCCAGTACCCACACTAATTCTGTCTCCAAAGCCTGTTTACATCTTTAGAGAAAGACGTTAATAAGCATGTTCACCATGGAGGAGCTGATTACACCTGCTTCAGAGGCGCAAGCTCATCTACAGTAGCACACATCTGCTGAATGAGTAAATTTCTACTCATTTTGCGTTTTTTAAAATTTTGAGACAGGATCTTGCTACATTGTCCAGGATACAATCCAACTTGTGATCCTCCTGCCTCAGCCTCCCAGAGTTCTGGGATTATAGGTATGTGCCCATCATATCTACAAATAAACCCACCTCTAAGTCCATGCTCTATTTCTGAGATACAACCTAGCTCTAAAATGATTTTTTTTTTTTTGTCTTTTTTCCTTTTTTATCGGTACCGGGGATCGAACTCACGACTGCCTGCTGGCAAGGCAGGCACTTACGCCGCTGAGCTAAATCCCCAGCCCCCTAAAATGATTTTAAATGCCATGCAGAAGTGTCAAGAGCAACGGTGGAACTCTTGGGAGTGTTTTCCATGCTATTGGCTGATCTACTGTGAAAGTAGGCACCAAATACACATCCCAGTGCAGCCTGCATGTTCTTGCTTAATTTGGTAATGGGCAAATGGCCAGGAGATTCCCTTCCTGGAGGCCCTCAGGAGACTGAAACAAAGCAATTGCCCATTTCTAGGAGATCCCTTCCTGGGGGGTTCCTGCCCTCTGGAATGATTCTTCAACAAGGCATGACTCACCTGTCTGGATTTACCTGAACTCTGGGTCAAGCTGCTGCAGTTGTGTATGTATTTGCTGGAACTGTCTCCCAACCTTATGTTTAAGTATTGCTTATTTCAAGCATCAAGTCATTATTCAGGCAAGAAACAAACTATAACAAAAATATATAGTTTATTTATCCACATTCTCTTAGACTTTGCTGACACATTAAATATTGTATTACAGATATTATTGCAGATTTTTAAAAAATTTTAAGCATTTTTAGATTTCATCACTAATCTTAATATAAATGAATCTTTTCTTTCCAGTGAGTTCTCATTAGCAAGTACCCCCAAGTTTATCTATTTATTCATCATGTGCTATGCATGTTGTGCTGGCGTCCCCTGATCATAGGATGTCCTCCTCCCCTTCCCTGTCACACATCATCCCCAGCTGGGGCACTGCAGAGGGTGGTAGGACAGATGCTCCCATGGGTACAGGGGCTAGGAGGCAGGAGGTAGCTGCTTCTTGTGCTTCCTCTTGTGCTTCTTCTTGCCATGTGTGTTCTGGTGGCCAATGAGGTGGGAGCTCTGGGTGAAGGCTTTGCCACACTTGCGGCACACATAGGGCCGCTCTCCAGTGTGTGTCCTCTGGTGCCGTGTGAGGTGGGAGCTCTGCCGGAAGGCCTTGCCACAGTCTTGACAGGCATAGGGCTTGGCTCCTGTGTGGGTGCGCAGGTGCTGGGTGACAGCTGAGCGGTCATTGAAGGTCCTGCCACACTCCTGGCACTTGAAGGGCCTCTCACCACTGTGCACCCTTTGGTGCTGTGTGAGGGAGGAACTCTGCACGAAGGCTTTTCCACAGTCCTGACAAACATACGGCTTTTCTCCTGTGTGGATTTTTTTATGTACAGAAAAGTACCGTGGATTTCGGAACAACTTCCCACATGCACTGCATCGGCAAATTTGGCTTCCACTATGGATTTTTATAAACATGACCTGCTGAATTCGTTGGTCAACCATTTTCTTACTACCCTTGCTCTCTCTAGCTTTGATCTTACGGGTTTTCTGGGTAGCTTTCATATGTGAATGCAGAATCACATGATCACTGCTCTCCCTGGTTCTGCCGGGCTCACAGCCCTTCTGGTTCAATTTCACTTGTGAATGGTGGGTCACATGACCACTGTTCTCCCCAGCTTTGCCCTGCTCACAGTCCATCTGCTGAACCTTTACATGGGAACTCTGAGTCAAGCAACCATTGCTGTCCCTGGCTTTGCCTGGCTCACAGCCCTTTTGGTGATCTTTCATATGTGAACTCTGGGTCACACTCTCACAAGGTGAGACTGATTTGCGCAAACATTTTTTGAGAGGAATTTTCTGGGGTGAAGTTGGGCTCGTGTTAAGACCAGGGTCTTGTTGGGACCCAAGGTACTCAGTAAGGTGCTCCTGGGGGATGGCCTTATCCTGAGCAAGCTCCTCTTCTTGAAATGCTGCATGTAGGACTTCTGCGATGCCACCTTGTAAGAGAGGTTGGGTGTCTTCCCTACATAATTCATTCACTTTTGGGTCATAAATGGGTTCTTCAGCAGGAACATCAGAATCAGGAATCAACTCTTTGTTTTCCACTGCAGTCTCCCACCCTGAAAGAAACCAGAAGGTGTGCAGTGCAGAGATGGTGCCAGGATGGAATCCATACACAGTCATTCAAACCAGGAAGCAAGTGCAGAAAGTTGAAAAGCAGCCGAGAGGGGAAGGCTCAATTTGGTGACCAAGAGATGGTCAGAGGTAGGAAGTGCCCTTAGATTCTCTTGTCCCCAAGATGGGTGGACAGATTCTCTCTATCCGTCCACACTTCCACCTGGCAGGCATGTGGCTCCAGTTAAAGGCCCTGGATAGACCAAGGGGACCCTGAGTGTGTAGCCAGTCCCAAAGGAGGTGTGAGACCTCCAGCACCTAGGAGGCAGCGCAGCCTTACCCACAGACACCAGGTTCCCCAAGGTCTCCAGCATCACATCATGGTACTCAGTCCTCTGCACTGGGCCCAGCAGGCCCCACTCCTCCTGGCTGAAGTCCACAGACACGTCCTGGAAGGTCACCGGCTCCTGTAATGTCACATGTGTGTCTGCTGTGCCAGGGTCTCTGCTGCCTTGGGGATTTGTTCAGAAACAAGAATCTGGGCCCACAAGTCCACTAGGACCCTTTGCACAGCCAGAGTCCCATAGGGCTGGAGGCAGAACTACAAGCGTAACAGGTACCCAAGGCATCCCACTGGGTGCTGCCCTGCCCCACATGGTAGACAAAGCCCTTGGCTTCAAGGAAGCCTGATCCAGGCTGTGCCACAATGAATCCTTTCTGGGTAGCTGACCAGGACTTTCCACCCCCCTTGCCAGGATCTGAGAGGCATTTTGCCCAGATGGAGAAGAGCCCACCTGAAAAAGAATGGGAAAAAGCAGAGCCACGAGATAGGCTGGTCATATATTTTTCCCATTACCTGGGGACCCTGCAATGCAGCCTTGCCTGAAGCCTGAGTAATTACATGAAAGCCAATTAATTCACTCAAATCTGAGAGCCAGGGTAAACCACTTGCAACACAGACCGCACTAAGCAACACCATACAGAACACCAGTATAATGGATGGCTGGACAGTACCAGTCCTGCTGGATTCACATTCCAGCCTATGGGAAAGGAATCTCAAACGTAATGACTTACTCACAACCTGAGTCCTTTCTTGAGGAGCAGGGCTCATTACCCTACATCAAGCTGGTGCCACTCCTCTTCTATGTCAGTCCCCTCATCCTGTAATGGGTTCTCTACTCAAAGATATCTCAGTAGGCCAGGCAGTGCTGTTCTAAGCTTGTGGATTGTGTCGGAATAGCCCAACCTGTAGCAGGCTTGAAAAGCCAGAGGTAATGGGAGAACACCTTGCAGAGACAGTGTGCTGAGAAGAACAAAGGGTGAGGGCCCACTCACCTCAGGCAGCACCGCCACTGGCAGGATGGCTGTATCCTTCTCCTTCCTCTGCTGCTCAATGGCGGCCTTGGGAAAACAGGCAGGCAGCACTGGAAGAGACACAGCATGGAGAGTTGGGGTGGGGAGGACCTAAGGACAGGATGCCCTGGATCTCCACTCTCTTTCTTCTAGCCACTGCCTCTCATGACTTGTGACTCATCCCCTCTACCTGGGAGGGTCACAGAAGACTGTCTGCCTACTGCCAGGACCCTCCTTTATTTCCACACACCCCTGGGACTCTCTTGGACCCTGCATTTTCCTCAGGGACAGTCATCCTTCCCAATACCATCAGGGACCCTGGTCTGGTTTGGTGGATGTCCTGTCTGCCTGCCACCTCTCCTGCCGCCTCATGGAAGGAGGGTATTGGCCACTGGTGCACTCATCTCAGTCTCTTCCACCTTAGAAGATACTTGCTCTACCAGCCCTCAACCCTGCTCCTTCACACTGGGTCTTCATGTGTTCCTACATGGTCCTGTGGACTTCTACCTGCTGCCAAGGGGCCACAGGATGTGACCCAGGCTGGCCCACCAGGCTGTCTCTTCCTCCTGGAACTTGCCCATTTCCTTGTCGCTGAAGCCACTCTGTGTAAGGTTTCATGACAGTCATACTAACGAGTCTCAACTAACACTGAGCACAAAAGCAATATTTTTGGAGCTCTCTGAAGGCTTCTTCCTGTCTTCCTTTGTGAACTATACAACTTTGGCCATCCTTGAAGTGTTAAAACACAGGGTAACTGATCTCAGGGGCTTTACAACTGTCTCCCTAACATCTGTTTTAGTTATCTACTGGGGCCATAACAATTTGCCATAAATTTAGTGGCTCAAATGAACTCAAATCACCTTAAAGTTCTAGAGATCAGAGGTCTACTGTGAGCCTCACTGAGCTAAAGTGAACGAGGAGGACTGTGGTCCTGTAGGAAGTACAAGAGGAAATCCTATTCTTTGCTGTGTCAGCTGCTATAGGACACTCCAAATCTTGGCTCATGGTTGCTCCTGTCTCTTTTTGGAGACAGGCTTTCTGTATGTAGTCCAAGCTGACCTTGTATGTAGCTTAGGCTGAGCCTGAACTTGAGGCAATCATCCTGTCTTAGCCTCCCAAGTGCTGGGATGATAGACGTGTACCACCATGCCCAGCTATTCCTGCCACCATGTCTCCTTCCATGACTCCATGAAATCCCTGTGGCCAAGTGAGGTAACATTTTCTATTGATCCAGGTTCTGAGACATGGGCAGCTTTGGAACAATGACACTGCCAACTACAACACTCAGTGCATCTGAAATGGACAGCTCCAGTTCCTGCCTGCCTGTTTCTTCCTTCCTGTGCAAGCACAAATTTAATTAGTTTACTGTTTTTACTCCAGAAACATCTAGGCAGCTGGGCACGTAGAGCACAAAGGTAAGCAATAGAAGAGCACTCATGCTCCTAAAACCCAGTCCAATGGAAGAACTGAGTCACGAAGTCTCACCTTCAAACACATCTGGAAGTGGCCTTACCCCACCCACCATCACCCTGCAAAACCATCAGCTCCAAAATGAAGAAGACAAACTGACAACTAATGGAAAGAAAAAGAGCTCAACAGAAATGAGGCAGAGAAGATTGGATGATAGGAACAGCTATTTTGGAGAAAATGATGTCTTAATAAGTAATACTGATTTAGTATCATCTTGTTTTGAAGTCTCATCAAGCTTTTGTTCTTCTGTCTCCATTGGTCTAAACAGGTTGTATCTTATTGGATTTTATTATGTACGATAGTATAAGCAAAAACTTTTATAGACAAGGAGATTATACAGAAACCATTGTTCATTTTCTGTTAGTTGATTCTAAATACCCTGTAATACTGTCATTCTCTTAAATGGTTTTACATTGTTTTGATATATTTGATGCTACAGTATAAGAAGTTATACTCAAAGATTTCAAGGAAAGAGACAATATGGTAACTACTTTTATGTCGGGATTATCTTGTGGTGAAACACTATTTTGCTTAAATAGCTATGTTTTGATCTGTGCTGATGTGCTGTTATGCCCTCTTTTATCTCAATCTCCACTTTATTATTTACTTTTTTTTAATTAAGGGAAAAATAAATAAAAAATAGCAGGATATATTATAGTACCCAACTTTGACTTTCCATTATCTTGATTTAAAGCCCTGTATTGCTCTCACCATCTCGTTTTGACTGATGTTGCTCTATTCTGTTTTGCTTGATAGTACCAGGTTCGAAAGTTTAGGCAACAGCTGTGAAGATAGTGGGATTCATTATGACACCCATTCTGATTGACTATTATCTACTTTTATGTCTCCAGGGTTTTGGTTTTGTTGGTTTTGTTCTTTACTGTTTTGTTCAATTTTATTATAACTGATGATATAGGCAATTCTATTAGAGATAGCGGGAGGCATTATGGTAACCATTGTTGATCACCTTGTATTATGTTTTTACACTATCTATTATGTCCACCCTTTTGATTTGACTGACTCTGTTCTGTTATGTCACATTTGGTTCTACTCTCTTCCAAAAAAGTAATAAGAACTGTGGGAGCAACAAAACCCAAAATGTGTAATTGTCATTGTACAAAAGAGAGGAAAAGAAAGTGCTCTAAACGATATAACTGCATGTATATTTAAGTGTATAAGATAGATAATGATATCACTGAGTTTTGTTGGATTATTGAACAAAACTGTTTGCAGTCTCACTGTTGGAATGTCCACTTTATAAGCTTTAATTTTGTAACTTGAACAATTATTTCTAAGATGACAATATGTAATCCATTAACTAGTGATTTCCTAGTTTATTTTTTTCTGTAAATCTGTATAACTTATACCCTTTCTCTGCTTTTTTTCTTTTTCTCCTTAATTAAAAAAAAAAAAAAAAAAAAACCATCAGCTCCGACTGGAAGCACACCATTGGTTCTGGAGTGCCCCCATCCTCTGTCTACCACCCCTACTTGCCACAGCTAGGAGAGTAAAGCTCACATCAGAAAGGCTGCTCACACCGCCAACTCAGGACAGATACCTACTGCCACAGTGTAATACTGCAATGCTACAAGGCAACATGCAAATCCCTACAAGTTGGTATGTAGGTGTGAGCTGTGTTTTCAGCTACTCAGGAGGCTGAGGCAGGAAAATCACCTGCACTCTGGACAACAATACAAGTACTGTCTTATTTTTAAAGAATAAAAAAGATCAAGGCTGGGGGCATAGCTCAGTGGCACAAGCACCTGCCTGGCAAGTGCCAGGTCATGAGTTTGATCCCTGGTACAAAAAAATTAAAAAGGTCCCTATTCGAACCCTAATAGGACAGCCCTACCCTCTGTTTCCTTCCACCACAGATCTACCTAATGTTTTCCTGACTTATGCACATCATACTATGATTACGTCTATTTTGGGACCTCGTAGTGGATGCAACCTCTGCTTGGCACATCTTTCCTGCCTGCCTTCTTCACCTGGTCAAGCTCTAGCTCATATAGCCATCAGGTGCAGAGACTAAGCCTCACTAAGTTCTACCAGTACCCTTGGCCTCTTCCCCACACCAGCAAGGGCGCATACATGTTCACTGGTCATAGCTCCACCTTTCCTGCTGGGCCTCAGGCTTAGCAAGCACTGCCTTGGTCATTACCTCATCCATATCCCTTTTAGAGAAGTGGATGGCTGTGTATAGCCTGGATCCCACAGGCATCACAGCAAAGAGCTATTTACATGAGCTTCCACTAGAAGCCTGTGGAAGGTTTGTTAAAGAACACAGTGCTGGACATCACTGTGGGATTTCAGTTACTCTGGGTACCACGTACAGGACCAGGTATCCTTGTTATAAGGCAAAAGCCCTTCCCCTCCTCTCTAGTACCCTCTTAGAAGATACCTCTCACCTCACCATTCCACGGTACTCACCGCCTTCCTTGGACATTGAGATTACATCCTCTACCAGGGCTATGGCTGCCTGGCAGTCTTCAGGGTGCTGCGACTCTACACATGCCTGGAACTCCCCGGGCAGTGCACCCAGGAACTGCTCCAGCACCAGCAACTCCAGGATCTGTTCCTTGGAGTGCACCTCAGGCTGCAACCACTGGTAGCACAACTCACGGAGCCGGGCCACAGCCTCCCAGGCACTTGTGGCCTCCTCATACTGGAACTGCCGGAACCTCTTGCGAGCAACCTCAGGGTCTGATGGATGTGCTCCCAGCTGCTGGGCCGGCTTCCCACGGGTGTCAGTGCTTAGGCCGCTGTCTTCAGCGTAAAGGGCCTGAATTTGGGCATTCCGGGGACCAGCCACCTGCTGGTTCAGGGTGAGGATTTCAACAACCTTGATATTTGTTAGGCAATTCTCGGTAGGAACAGGACTCAAATGAGAGTCCAGTGGAGGCTCAGCACCAAGACATTCTGTAAGTGAAAAGCAGAGAAAGACACAATATCCTACGAGACAAGAAAAGATGCTTAAATGTTATTACCCACCAAAAAACTCCAATCAAAACCACACCCTGCAGGATGGTTACTAAAGATGGACAGTGGGCCTGGCATACCTGCTCAGTAGTAGAGCTCCATCCTAACATACATTAGGCCCTGGGTTCAACACCCAGCACTCTCAAAAAAACACAAAATACAAAAAACTTCATCAATAAAAAACAGCCAGAACTCTGTAGAAATACAGAAGCTATAACAATTTAACTTGTTAAGAAGCTGTTAAGACTCACGTAGTTATTATACAACTCAGGAACCACCTCCATTTATATATACCTAGTGGAACTTATACTAACATGTTTATGACAGCATTATTTCCAGTAGCTAAAAATATAAAGTTCCACAAATGTCTGTTACCTGATGAATATATAAAACCTCCAAAACTTCATTAGCTGAAAATTCACTTTATACATCTAATCTACCAAACATCACATTATAGGCTTACACCATCATCAAGTCACAGTATCATTAAATCAAATCATCATCAGGCAAAATGTGGTCTTTCATGAAATGAAAGATTTGGCAATAAAAAGGAATGAAATGCCAATATGCCTGCACAGACAAACTTTGAAAACATCACCCTAAGTAAAAGAAACAGACATGAAAGACTACATGTGGTATAGTTACATTTATATGAAATGTCCGGAAAAGACAAATCCAAGGACAGAAAGATGATTAGCAGCTGTTAAGAGATGGAGGAATTAAAACTAACTGGAGGGTGATAGCTAATGGATATGGAATTCTTTCAGTGATAAAGTGTTCTGTAATTAGATGGTAGTGATGGCTGCCCAACTTTGTGAACATACTAAAAACCACTCATACACATTGTGTAAGAGTCAATTTCAAAGTATTTAAAATATTACAGCCAGAAGCAAAAACAGTTAAGAGACCTGTAAATACTACATATGTACAAAGTCTGAGAAAATCTCACTTCTGCTTCCACTGGGGCCAAGAACAAATATCTCTGGGTCCTGGCACAGCGTCCACAAGAGCACATCTGATGAACTGAATTTTGAGCCAGTCCGAAACACCTTGGGAGCATAAAACAGTAAAACAAGAAAGATCTTTAGCCTTCCCCACCAAAGAAACGCTAATTGTTAATGACTAAGGAAAGGTTTTAGAAGTGGAAAAACGTAAATCTGATGAGTATGACTCCTAATTGTACTTATAATGCTCAATGCCACAAACAATGTCAAGAGTAAACTTGCATTTGCACCCCTGCACAAATGTGCAAATGAGGGAGGGCAGCCTGAAGTGTTTTGTCTTGGACCCCTAGTCCCTTTTTCTCTCCCAGGTTCTAGATCCTTTCTTTTCTCTCCCTCCTGAATTTTTTAACTCCCCATGGTGGCCTATGTTGGCTTCAGGGTACTCACTTCACAGACCTGACCTATAAAGTGACGGAAACTACTGCAAAATGGACAGGTGAGGTCCTTGGCTTTTATCTCTAAGTCATGGGAATGTCTCTTGTCTACATTTGGTAAGATTAATCATATATATATGAGCATCTGTTTCTAACTTCTCCTTCTAAATAAGCTCTTTTGAGGGGAAGGGGTTGGTTATCTCCTCAAATTATTTGTTAAAAAAATTATTTCTAATACTTAGCTCCTTTCCTGTTATGATTCCTAGAGGTTTACTCTTTTACCACACCTCTAATGGCTAAAAAGTTTGTTCATGGGGCCAGGAATTCAGCTCAGTGGCATAACTGTCTGACTGACAAGTACAAAGTCATAAGTTTGATCCCTGGTACCAAAAAAAAAAAAAAAAGTTTGTTCACTTATTTCTTTCAATTAATACTCTTAGGCATAATTATCCTAAGAGTAACTCAGGAGGCCAGGGCTAGGATTTATCAGAGACCCAACAGCACAAAACTAAGTGCCTGAGTAAACCTGGGCTTCTTGGTGGATCTGTACAGGTATCATTAAGTTACCATCATAAATGGCACTTAAAAGTAACCTTAACTCTTCCTTGCTCCACAGCTTTATAACTTCCAAAGTTTTGTTTTCTTTCTTTCTTTTTTTGGTCTTTTTCGTTTTTATCGGTACCAGGGATCAAACCCACGACTGCCTGCTTGCAAGGCAGGCGCTTATGCCGCTGAGCTAAATCCCCAGCCCCAGTTTTGTTTTCTTAATCAAGAGGGATTTTTATTCAGTGCTTTACCCCCCTGAAACTAGCTGTTGGGGCTTTCTTTATTCTATTCCACACAATTTTCTTGTCTTGTAATCTTGACCCTGTGTACTTCTAGGGGGCATCCAGGCACTTTTTCAGCATCTTCCATTGAACACTCATTCAGAAAGGTCAGTTGCTGAAGTATCCACAGAGGCCTATCCTGGTAGAGCCACTGAGTTGATGTCTGGAAGTCAAGGACTCTGCAACTCTGCTCTATAGGTACCAAGAGCACAGTGGATATAACCCTTTGGCTTCATAGTTACCATAAGACACCTACTGGGGGTGGCAGAACGAAGGACACCACAGTCAGTGGGACTAGCAATAGGCCTGCAAACTGGTGGGGAAATGACTTCCCCATCATCTTGTGCAACTCAGTCCTCTTAACCTATGAATCACACCCAAAGCCCTCCAAGATTAATCCTGACCACTCTCTATGACCGGAAACTTTGTTCTACTTCATGGAGGAGACAATGGTAGGTCTTAAATTCATAGCCTGCCCAAATAAACCTGGTTTCGGATCCACCCAGGCCACTGCTGTGACTCACCCACCTGGAGCTGTATAATACTTATCAGTATGTGTGTAATACAATGGTCCAAAAATATTTAAATAGAAAATTCCAGAAAGAATGTTAGTTTTAAATGTCATGCCATTCTTTGTAGGATAACAGAATCTCATGCCATCTTGTACGAGATAAGAATCCACCCTTTCAGAGACTGGGGATTTAGCTCAGCGGGAAGCGCCTGCCTTGCAAGCAGGCAGTCCTGAGTTCGACCCCTGGTACCGATAAAAAGGAAAAAGACAAAAAAAAAAAAAAAAAAAAAAAAAAAAAAAAAAAGAATCCACTCTTTCTCCAGTGTATCAACATGCACAGGCTACTTAGTAACTGTCACTTAGTAGTTTAGTATCTTAGTCTATCTCCTAACTATAGACTAATGCTCTATTTCAGTACCCTTATTCAGCTAAGCCTTCTTTTACTTAACTAAGCACAAAAGCAGTTATGCTAGCCATTTGGATATGCCAGAGAAGCTATGAGAAGGTAAGAATTTTATCTTGTGGATACAAGTATGGGGGAAGGCCAGTATACACATACTGTATAGGGTCTGATAATATATCCACTCCTTCAGCTATCCACTAGGGGTCATGCTGGTTTTCAACTCAGTGGCTGACTAGTCCCATTTAATGGAGTCTCTACACCTCTCCTCCTGCCTCCACCTCTTAAGAGTCAGGATTCTGTCAGGTGTGCACTACCAGAGAGAGTAAAAGACATTCTTTCTTGAAGAAACTCTTGTCTTTTTGCAAATTTCTGCTGTTATTTATGCACTCAGTAACAGCTTACTGAACTTCTGGTAATTCAGTCACTGTCCTTCCAAAGGGGATATAAAATCTAAGGATATCCATTTCCACCTGTATTATTATTATTATTAGGTCTTTTTCTTTTTTATCAGTACCAGGGATCGAACTCATACCACACACTTGCAAAGCAAGGCGCCTATGGTGCTGGGCTAAATCCCAGCCCCTACCTGTATTATTTAATAGTCGCTCTACACATTCAAGTCTGGTAACAACAAAATCTTTTTTTAAATTTTAAAGACAAAACAAAACAAACCAAAAACAACGAAACAAAACAAACCCAAAATTTCAAAACAATAGGGGAGTAACATTAATATATTGCATATTATCTTAAAATTACTCAGAACAAGACATAGAAAACTTGACTATCCACACAATATTAGCACAAACCTTTTTTTCAATGAGTTAGTACTGTTACTATCATATATGTATTTGACAAGAAAAAATTTTAAAACATATTTTGTTCTATTTTTATCTTAAGATTTTACTATTAACATTTTACCTGATGATCTGCTTTCTGTGCCACATCTGATATAAAAGTAGGATGGGACATTTCATTTTACTATTCAGTGGAATTCTTTTCAATTAAGTTTCTTTACTTTGTCAAGTAAGTAAGACCCAAGGGTAGTGATTTGCCTGCAGAGATGACATTCCAATGGTTCTTGCCCGTATGAGTCCTCTGATACAGAGCACAATGAGGACTCCTACTGAAGGGCTTCCACACTGTCCTGTTTTCAGGGCTGCTTGTCAGGGAGTTGACACCAGAAGCCTTACTAACACTGATTATGTTCTAAAGATTCTCTGTCACACCACTCCTATGATGCTGGGTAAAGAAACAATGCACATTTCCACAGCAATCTCATTCTTATGGTTCTGGAATTCTCGACAGTTAATTGCAGTATTTGGGCTAAGAACTTTTCCAAACTCAATACAATTATAATTTCTTTGTGCAGTATGAATTCTCTTAAAGTAAGACTCAGAGGCCAGAAATCTCCTGCTATAATCATTCCTGAGATTTCTTCTTTGTGGGCTTCTCAGGTACTGAAAATCTCATGAAAGACACTTTTCTCATCCAAGATCTTTATAGGTCAATTTTTTTTCTTTCTTTCTCTCTCTCTCCCCCACCCCCGTCTTTTTGAGATGGTCTCTCTATGCGGTTCAGGCTGACCTTGAGCTCATTTTGTAGCCCAGGCTAGTCTTAAACTTGCAATGATCCACTTGCCTTAGCCTCCCAAATGCTGGAATTACAGGCATGCGCCACCACACCCAGCTTTTATAGATCAATTTCTCGTAGGAGTCTTCTTTTAGATAAGAAGGTCACACTATACTGAAATTAGGCTTTCTCACATTAAACATTTCTTCTACCTTGTTCCCTGAAGAATTATGTTTCACATAAAACAATTGTTTTGTTGATTTCCTACATTCTCCACCAGTTTACTCTTGTAGCCTTTGGGACTCCCCTCAGATTACATGAAGGATGAAATCCAGAGAAGGATTTGCCTCTCTTACTTTCAAAGACACACAATGAACAGTCCTGTGTTATTTTTACAAAGCTTAAAACAGCTGCCACATTCACATTTGCTAGGCTTATGTCATCCTCTACTCCTCTTACTGGAGACTGAATCCAGAGTGCGCCAACTGAGTTACAAACCAAGACTTTTTTTTAAAAAAAAGTTTTTGAAAGAGGATTTCACTAAATTGTCCAGGCGGGGCTTTAACTTGTGATCCTCCTGCGAGAGTATTGGGATTATTCCTCTTTAATGTTTTAAACTGAAAATATTAAAATGATCTGCAAGTTCATCTCTTCTCTGCACTGCCTTCCTAATGATTAAATGTAGTTTACTTGCAAGTATTCTACCCAAAAGCTGTGCATGATTAATGCAACTCTTGGCTAAAAATTATTTTATGTAATAAACAAAAAAACCACATATTTCTACACTTCAACATAGTCTATGCCTTTGCTAGACTTTTCCGTCTAACTGGCTAATGTGAAAATCTAGGAATAATCTTTTACATGAACATACAAAACAAGGAATACATTTTTAAGTTACAAAGTTCACAGGAAATCTTGCAATGTTTTAGCTTGCTAATGAGGAATTGCCAGCAGCTTTCTTCTGATTCCTAAACAATTACTTACCTAGCCTCACTCAGACCCTGGTGAATCAACCTAACTCTGCTTCTCCCTAACCTGCTACTATTCTCTTAACCACTTTTCCCTTAGATGACACCATACCTGTCTGTACCTTTCCAAAGTTCTATCTTCACAAACCGCTAGAGATATGAAATGCCATCACCTTCTGCTCAAGAATGGAAATGAAATTCCCCTCATAGCTCATAAGGCCTTGAGGGTTCTGCTGAACATAACTCCCACGTCTTCATGCTCTATAGTTACTTACTTTGAACTCACTGGACAAATTTCTGTTTGCTGAAAACTATATAGCTCCTTCTCATCTCATGGTTACGCCAAGTGGTGTCTCTATGTCTGGAAGCTCTCTTCACCATCCTTTTAACGTCTACAGAATTCTTTGCCAGAAGAAACCAGCTCAGTGTCAAGGCTGTGACAATATATCTTCCTTGAACAATTCCTTCTTTGAGCTTTTCACAGTTGGCCATTAGATCTGAAGAACCTGTTTGTAGGCTACTATTTGCTAGACTATGAGGCTTATGGTTATGGGGATTATGCTTGGTCTTTGGTTTATCACCTGTTTATTACATTGCAGAAAAAGGCAGAAGCCCTTCATAAATATTTGTGAGGTGTAAAAAAGGAAGGAAGGAGAAAGGAAGTATTTATGAAGGACCCTTCAACAGAGCAGAGATCATGCAGACCCCATCATCTCAGACCCAGTCCTAAGAAGACATCCTGAAAAGCTTCTCACCTGGATTATATAGTGGTACACTACTCCCTCTCCTCAGATGTGGAGAACTGTACATGTCCACAGTACCTCCTTCCCAGTAGCCAAACTCAGGGAACTCTAGACCATCAAAAGTACATAGCCAGGAAATGGGACTTGGGCTCCAGGAAGGAAGGGATAAGTAGGCTGGAGCAAGAGAGGAAACTGAGGGGGCAGAAACCAGATTAAGAAGGGCTTGTACTATTAGAGTCTTGCAGATTAAGCACAGTTTGGAGATATGTGCTAACAACAACAACAAAAAAATCTCAATGAAAGGAACAGAAATATTTTAAATAGAAAACATCATTAAAAAAAAAAAAAAAGAAAACATCATTAATTGTTATGTGGGTATCTATTTTGGGACTTTATTTTGGTTGTTTGTCTATCTTGGTATCCATGCTGTTTTGTCATGATTGGTATAACTTTGTGATAAACTGTGGGACTGGGGAGGGTTGGAGCTTTAATTTTATTCCTTTATCAAAGTTGTTTAGACTATTCTGAGTCTTTTCTATTTTTACAGAAGTGTAAGAATCAAAATGTTAATCTTTATGAAAAATGATGTTGGCAGTTTGATAAGAGATTGTGTTTTCTGATCCTTATTATTTTTTTCTATTGATTTTTGGTTTTATTCTTTTATTTTAATTTCTCAAGGAAAGATATGAGGATATTTCATAACTTTCTTTTTTTCCTAATAAATGTACTTGGTGTTAAAAAAAAGAAAGAAAAAATCAGATGGGCATGGTGGCACAATCTGTAATCTCAGCACTCTGGAGGCTGAGGCCTGGTATGGAAAGGCTTAAAAGTGAAACTAAGAGTGGTAGTTGCTTTCACTCATTAGAAAAAGCTAGATGATCTTAACCATTCAAAACTGATCTGAAATAAAATAGAATTCACAACCACGCTCTTTGAAACCCAGAAACTTGCCAATTTATATCTGACTAGTTACCTGCTCTTTGCAACTAGCAGCATGTTTTAAAAACACCACTAATGATGAAACCAACTGCACTTCAAGACTGTTTAAAAAAAGAAAACTATAACTGCCTTTTACACACATTGATATTTAAAATGACTCTATATAAACGAAATATGAGAAACACAACTGTTACAAACAACAAGAGAATTTAGCAGTGTGACAAGTTCATCTGGGACTACTGTGTAAGACCCAGATTTGAGCTGGGGATTTAGCTCAGTGGCATAAGCACCTGCCTGGTGAGTGCTCAGTCCTGAGTTAAGATTCCTGGTACCATATACAAACAACAACAACAAAAAACCAGACCCAGATTTGAATAACACACCAGGTAACAATAACACAGTTCAATCAAAATTAAGATGCACTCTAACAGAATTTTTTCAATTAACCCAGACAAGTTAATGCAAGTGTTTACCTGACAAACTAGATGGTCAATGACTGCTAAGAAGTTGTTTTTTTACACTACCAGAGGAACGTCTAGACATTTATTCAAGCTTGTTATGAACCTGTAATTAGCACACAACATGGCTTCCTCAGAGACAAGATTAAAGGAACTCAGAGGAGACTTATACGTTATGACAATAGGAATTTAATCTATGCAAAGATAGTGTTTCCAATAAGCAGAAATGAATCAGAAAATGATGCTGAAAGAACTTATGCCTCATACATATATTAAAGACAATCTCAGATACACTGACACTAAAATGCAAAAAATGCTTGCATACATGGAAGTATTTAGACAATCTGCCTACATAATGATATATGAAACCCAGTATAAAAATAAACACAGAGGGGAAAAAAATAAATATAGGGGCTAGGAATATAGGTAGTATTCTGACATCACCAAAATTTTAGGAAAACTGTCTCAAAAAATCAAAATCTTCTGTATAATTAAACTTAAAAATACAACAGAACTGGGCAAGATGGCACACATCTGTCATCCCAGCACTTGGTAGGCTGAGGCAGGATTGCCATGAGTTCCAGGACAGCCTGGAATCTAAAGCGTGACCCTGTTTCCAAAAACAAATAAACACACACAAAAAATGTTGATCTGAGATATATATTTCAGTTCTAATATCTAAAATACATAGGACCCTACCTCCTCTCATAATATCAAAAGGGCGTAATAGCTGGGCATGATGGTGAATACAGGGAGCTGAGGCAAAAAGACTGGAAGTTTCAGTCCAGCCTAGACTATTTAGCAAGATCTTGTCTCAGTATTTAAAATAACTTTTAAAAAGAGGTAGGAATGTATGGTACTTGCCTAGAAGGTGTGAAACACTGGTTTCAATCCCCAGTACCAAAACAGAAAGAAGAAACAAAAAGAATGAGAAAAATAAAAGGGGGGGCTAAATGTATGAGCCCACAAAGATAAGTCATTTCGTCAGTCATGAAAAGAATGTGAACTGAACTGAATACATGTCTCCTTTGCCTATAAGATAGGAAAACCTTAAAAATGCCATTAAAAAATGCTGGTGTACTTCAGCAATGATCTCTATTATGAAGGGTTTTACACAGCAATTCATTCCTACCATAACTTATACATTTGTGTGTCCTATGAATCCATTTGTAGAAATTCGACCTACAGAAAACCCCCACTTTTACAGGCAGAAAAAATGTGTACAGGGAAGTTCTTTACAGTAACTTTAATATCCATGAATATAGGAGAAATCAAATGTAGAGTTCTTTAGAAAAAATGACATAGGACCTGTTTGAATTGTGTGTAATAGCTGAAAAATGTATTTACCTAAACAGTCTATATATAGCCTGCTAGCTGGGCATAGTGGCCCACACTTGTAATTCAAACACTAAGGAGCCTGAGGGAGGAAGATCACAAGTTCAAGGTCAGCCTGATCTGCACAGTGAGACCTTGTCTCAAAAAACTCCCAATAATCTGGCCAAAAGAAGATACCAGAATTACAAATGATTGTACAAGAAAAGAACAGTAGATGATGAGTAGAAAAAGTGAAGGACCCCAAGATCAACTTGTTAACTACCTGCAACCAGCAATGGATACACTTTCAACCAAGCTGGATATTGCTGAGGTCAGAGGAAAACATAGACCTTGAGTCTCCCCTCAGTACCTAACCTGGTTTTCAGACTCTCTACCTCTTCCAAGATACTGATCTCTGCCTAACAGCTGGTCCATGCCCTGCCGAACTCCCACGTGCCTGCTCTCACCTGGAATTGTGTGTTGAAGAATCTCTTTCTCCACCGGCCAGAACTCTTCTGCCTCCTCTAACTGAGATACCACATCTGGCTTGGAAAGCTGATGTTCTGCTCAAGGGAAAAGAAACAGTACTTGGGGAAGTCTGTGTTCAGATAAAAAAAAAAATGCTGTCCTAGTGCAATACACACAGTCTGTAGCTTCTCTCCTGCTAAGGCATAAAAAGACTTTGGACCTACCTACAACAATCACATATCCATCCCTTCTGTACGATTTCCTAGATTCCCTTGAGAACAGAAATGGCTGGGGTGAAGGTATGACAGTCTGGGAAAGTTTCTGTTTTCTAGCTTAAATATAACAGCTGTGAAAGAGCTGGCCAGGGCAATCTCTTTCCCTTGTTTATGTTTTGAACAGACACAAAGCTCCAAGCAACAGTGATTCAATGACTAGCCAGAGACAGAGTTCATGAGAACCACAGAGGGAAAAGGGTGCAGGAACTTTAATGAACTCAGTGTACATCTGAGCTATGGGACACTGAGACCTCACCTTCTAGAACCATTATAACTCGAAAACATCCATTTCTGAAGCTGAAAATATCCCCAGTAAGTCAACCCTTGTATTCAGGGACTTCAAGGAACAGATGGAATGAAGAAGCTTCAGAAGCTATACTGAGACACTGCCTTTGTCTTGTGGGTACAGGAAAAGCCCTCTCTCACAAGCACCAGGCTTAAATCTTTCCATTCAGACTCCTGAAGCCTGAGCTCAAGCACACATCTCCACAGATCTTTGGCATGGAGGCCAGCCTTACCCACTGAGACCAGGTTCTTGTAGTTCTCCAGCATCACTTCCCTGTACAAGGACTTCTGTTTGAGGTCCAGCAGTCCCCACTCCTCCGGAGTAAAAGCCAGTGTTATATCTTCAAAGATCACCGGTTCCTAAAACCCACAGGATTCTGTTCAGCTGGAGCATAAACTCTTCCATGGTGACAGACAGGAGGAAAGATGACCTGAAAGCATTCATCCTGTCCCATCTTGAACTTCTGTCTTTAACACTTTGAGGAAACCTAAACCTGGCCCTACTCAGGTCACAGTAAGAAGGGCAAGTGAGACCTCTGGTCTGTGAAAACCTGTTCACGTAATTTAAGGATCTGACTTAAGATTGGTGTGCACATACCTACCCTCCTAGGGAATTCCCTGTGTAGAATCACCACACTCAAGCTTTCATACCCCACCTCTGGCTCTTTTGCTTCTACCTTCTCCACCTGCCAGGAATACATCTCCACCTCTCTCTTTTTTGTTACTGAACTGAACACATGCCCACTACCCCCAGTACTGGGGATTGAACACAGGGTCTTCGCACTGAGCAACATCACCAGCCTTTTTAAATTTTTAATTTATTCTCTAAATTTTGCGACAGGATCCATAGGTCTCCAAATTGCCCAGACTGGGTTGTTTACTTCGATCTTCCTGTCTCAATCTGGGATTACAGGAGTGTCCCAACCGGCGCAGCTTCACATTACTTCGTGGTTGACCCTAAAGTCCATCCTGAAGCAAACATGAGCCCCATCCCTGATTGGACAAGTCCTCGCCACCCTCGTGGATCCACTGCAGGAGAGCACTGCAGCTCTTCCCGCAAGCGGTCCCTGCTGGGGCCTCCGGGATGAGGGGCAGTTCCACCCGCTGCGGTTCGGGGAGAGGGCTCACAATTCAGGGGCCGCTACTCACAGAGAACCACGGCTTCGGTAGCTCGGCGGCCATGCTGTCCCCGTCCTTAGCGACCCTCGCGGCGAACGGCATCCTGGGAAACCGAAGTAGAGACGGCGCGCAGGTTCAGGGCGGAGACACCGCAGGCCTCCTCGTCAGAGAACGCCCGTTTCGTGTCGTCCACGGCCAATCTCCCAGCGCCACACATTCCTGAGGCCTGGCTCGACCTGCGGACCCTGAAAAGGCGGCTCACCTTGTACTCACCGGCGCGTGCTGCACTATGGCTCCCGACGGCAGCAGTGAAGTGCGTCAGCGCGCCTCCTGGACTACAACTCCCAGATGCCCCTTCGTACCCTGTGGCGGCCATCTTGTCTCGCCGTCTGGGACGCTGCCGGCGAAGCAGCAGTCGACAGTGAGGGGTGTCGTGGACTGCCCAATTGCGCAGGGGTGCTTGAACTAGGTTGCCAGGGCCTAGCATTTCCGTGGGCAGTGACAGAGGCCGGGAAACAATCGTGCCGGGAAAGAACCTGTATCCTGAGGTTGACCACGCGTGGGCAGACCCGAGTTGAGCAAAGGGGAGGACCGAGTGGGTGGGCCGGAAGTGGTGGAGGGCGTTGGCACGCTCTAGGTATTGCCATCAGTCGGAAGTGCGGGGGCGGGACTAGCTGGCTGAGTGCTCTGGCCGCCGGGGGCGGGGACCGCGCAGGCGGGAAGCGTGTGAGCGGAGCCTACGTCCCCTCCAGTTCCTAGACGAGGCGGAGCTAGGTTCCCACACCAAGAAGTCTCTGAGCAGGCAGTCGGCGGCCCACCGGATGTGGGACTGAAGTCTGCCAGAGTTTAGGGGCGCGGTGGGCGGTGCCAGGTGTTCGCTCAAGTTGGGGTAGGTCTGGGAGAGGTTTTGCCGACCGGGAGGTGCGCGATGAGAATTCCGCTGATTCCTGGGAGCGGAGGGGCGGCCCGAGGTGTGCGTGGGGCTATGGGTGCCCCAGTCCCGCAGAAGCGTGGCCTGTAGAGCTCCTCCAAGTTTGGCGAGAAGCGCAGGGATCACTGTACCCAGACCCTGGGGAGCAGGTGGTGCGGTTCCCCCAGGTTCACGTGCCCTTGTCTTTCATTGGACCAGGCTCTGTAATGCTCTGTTTCCTGCTTGGGGCTCAGGGCCATCGTTTTCTGCCCAAGGGCTTCCTACAGGGTTTAAGAGCCCTGTATCTTTACGAGTTTCTTTGCCTGCTGCCTGCTAAACTGGCCTCAGGGAGCGTTAATTTTTATTCCCACGGTGGAAATGACCTAATCTTGGGCGACAGCTTTTCATCTTGATTGTTGTTGCAGTTAGTAGATCACATTTTTAATCTAAATTTTACCGGGAAACTGTTGCTATATCTCTTTCTCAGAAAAGGGGACTTTTTCAGTGTATTTATTATTTATATGTTCTTTACTTGGCTATTTCCAACATCGAAGATAAGACCAACAAAATACTGTACCCCAGACTTATTGCAGGAGAAAGGCAAAGAATTTGAGCAGTAAGCAGAGACTTGAGAACAAGCAACCTCCAGAAAATTGTCTACTTGAAGGTGTAATTCAGAAAGTCCATAGAATGGAGGGCACGGGAGTGAAGAGGGTTTGGAATAATCCAGTTCATATCTTTCCACTGTGTTTGCCAGACTGTAATGGGTGGCAAGTAACTGAGAAATCACATAGAAAAGTTTCTTCACAGAATGGAAGGTCTGCAAGTGCGTGATTCTCCATGCTGCTTCTCACCACTGATGTCATTCAGGATTGTGCTCTCACTTTCACCCTTGCTGTCCATAGCGTGGGGATGTCTTATCTTTTGGCTACTAGAACGCAAAGAGCAAACCTGGATACATATTGACTGCCGTCCTGAATACAACCCACTTCAGCATTTCTCCTTGACTTGGAAAGTCTGCCTTTTACTCTGTGATGAAAATTGACTTCTATTTTTCTTCTTCAGTCTTTCTCATATTCTGTTCAACAACCCTGAATGGCTATAGCTGCTTTCACTAATCTGAATTTTAAATTTCTAGTTGTTCTTCTACTTATAAATAAGATTATTAAACAGGCTGACATACCACCATGGAAGATCCCAAATTCAGGCTTGCCCTAGGTACCTTAAGGATTTAGTGAGCCAAGTGGGTTGTACCTCAGTGCAAAGGCCCTATGTTTGTTCTCTCCATCTCTCTCTACTTGCTCGCTCTCATTGTCTCTCACAGTCCCAAAGCAAAAGTTTTAAAATCATTGGAGAAAGTAAACCAGGAAGAATGAGAAACAAATTGACATAAATTACTCAAATATGTATGTACTAAGTCTTCTCAATAACAAATATATTGAAAAGACAGTAGAATCATTAAAAAATGCAATTGATCTATTGGAAAATACAGAGGGCTTGTGTAAAAATAGGAAATAATTGTAAGTTTGGAAATAATTGTAAGTTTACATAGATAAAAATGGTTATGTTCTAGGAAGGCCAGTGTTTAAAAGTGGCAGTTTTTCCAGATTTATCTCCAGACCCAATAAAATAGCAAATAAAGTTACAATGGCGTCTTCTGAGAGGCTTAGTCCTCATACATGGCTTTGTACTTCCTTGCTAAAAATGTGAGGGAAGGAACTGGTTTTCACAGGAACAAGTTGGATTCAGACTTGAGAAATGACCACGTAAATTACTAGTTCAAAAGGGTTTCAGCTGGGTGTGGTGATAACTTTCTAGGAGGCTGAGGCAAGAGGATTGCAAGTTTGAGCTACCCTGGGAAACTTGGTGATTTATAGAGACCTTGACTCAAAATTAAAAAGCAAATTAAGAAATGGGGATGTAGCTTACTGCAAAGACCCTGGGTTTAATTCCCAGTAGTACAGAAAAAAAAATTTGCTTCTTGCTTCCTGCAGCTTGATTTCACTTCAGATTCTTGGGACTCTGGTTATCTTTTTGCCACCTGCAGCCGCATGGCTGTACCCCTGAATTGCTGCTGTGGTTCCTGAACCATTCCTACTGAACACTGAATCTCTGCTCTCTGTGGTATCTACCTCCCAAGGAGCGACTCTGAGTCAGGCTGGTGATGGTCAACTTGCCTGGAGAGCCTGGTCACCTGTGAAGGCTGCTCCTAGGGTGCCCAGATCCTGACTCAGCTTGACTGGTTGGTAGCAAAGGAAGCTTACCATGTAAAATGCTTTGTTGGTCACAGATAGCAATGTACCTTTTGTCTTTTACCGTGAGAAACCCAGAGGCAGGGGCTTCCAGGGCTGGTTCCTAGGCCTAACTGAGGCCTGCAGCCAAACATTGTCAATCTTTGGACTCAGCCCTGCTCAGTGCTGTCTTGGTTAGTCCAAGGCTCAGGTTTTGATGGCCTCAAGGCCTGGTTCCCAGTTACAGGTAAGTATGCAACATTCGATTGGTGCAGTTGACATGGGACTGTGTTTGCTTTCAGTTATCACTGTAACAGATACCAAAATTGGATGGCGTTAAATAAATAGAAATTATCTCATGGCTCTGGAAGTCAGAAGTTCAAAATTTGCTTATTGGATGAACATCAAGGTGTCATTAGGGATGCTGTTCTGGAATGTCTAGGAGAGAAATAAATTTCTTTGCTGAATATTTCTGGGTTTGCTAATAGAGCTCTGGAGTGAAGAGCCAATATCCAGAAAAGGCAGAAGTTGGAGACCCTGGTAGGAGTTCAGTGAGTGCTGCAGAGCCAGGCTGGCACCAGGGAGTGTAAGGGTAGAGTGTGAGCTCCCCCTTGTGTTGGAAGAAGCCAGCACCTCAACCCCAGAGTGAGAAAGTGGAGTTCAGAAGTGAGGCACTCCCACTCCTTCCCCCATGGACACTCCAGATATCCTCCTGGAAGCCACGGATGTGGCTGCCTCTTTGTCCCAGCCCCACGGATGGTTCTCACTGGGTTGGAGCCACATGACCTCATTCTGTTCCCATTGCCTCAGTGACCAATCCAGGGGTTAGAACAAATATTCTCAACCATACATAAGCCTCTGGAGATGAGATTACCCTTGATTACACGTGCAGTTATATGTCTTTACTGGAGAGGCAGAGAAGCAAGGATTATTTGCACACAGGAAAAGACAAAGTGATTTGGACAATGAGGCACAGATTGGAGTTACAATGTCGTAACTCCAGACAAAAACAGCAACCAGCAGGACATGAATTATCCTTTGGAACCTTTCAGGGAGTGCAACCCTGCTAACAGGGGGTTTAGTGACAATGATTTCATACTTCCCACCTCCAGAATGATGAGAATAAATCTGTCTTGAAATTATTTTCCCTACCCTCTCCCCTTTGTGGTACAAGGATCAAACCATGGGCACTCTGCTGCTAAGCTACATACCTACCATATTAGTTTATTGGTACTAGAGCTTCCCCAGCCCTTTTTAGTTTTCATTTGAGATGGTTTTACTAAGCTGCTAAATTCTTTAGGCCTCCCAGAGTGCTGGGATTACAGACCTTTGTCAACATGCCCACCTCAGTGGGTTTTTATGTTCATACACTTAACATGCATCTCTCAGGTCAAAACCCTTTCATTTCTAAAAGCCCATACATTTCCTGGGCAGTATCACAGAGGTAACCAACTAGTTTTTTGTTTTGTGTCTTAGTTTCTACTTTCTAGTTTTTTCCAAGTTGCTGTGTACCAGTAGTTCATTTTTTTTAACTGTGTGAGAGTGTTCCAATGTGTGGGTGTCCCGTATTTTGTCCATGTATTTTATTATGGAGGGACCTTTTTTTTTTTTTTTTTTTTTTTTTAAAGATAGGGTTTCACTGCACAATTCAGTTTAGGTCAGCCTTGTACCAGTAGCACCCTCTTGCCTCAGACTCCCAAGTGCTAGGATTTTAGGCACTTGGCCAGCACACCTTACTATCAAGGGACTTATGGGATATATTCAGTTTTTTCTAATGACTAAAATTTCTCCAGACATCCTTTTGTATGTGTTTTGGGGATATGGCTCTTACTTCTGTTGTGATTATTATTATGTTGGGGGAAATTTTCTGAACATTCTGTAAATGCTTATTCTTTCCTCTACACAAGTGATATTTTTGTTACAGAGTATAAAATTCTAAAATGAGAATCTTTTTATCTGTGGAATCCGTGTCTTGTAACATTCAGGATTCAGAAGAGAAAACCAATCATGTTTACACCTTCCATTTTAAAAAAGGTTTTGGCTAGAGATTGTGAGCTTTGTATTATCCTGGGAGTGTGGACACCTTACCAGGCTGTGCTGTTTTCTTCATCCTGCCTGGGCAATGGAAATGATCTTTGAAATATGAGATTGCACACACAATTCTTTATTGTATCTATCTGTATTATTTTAAAGAGATTAAGACAAAACAAAACAGGACAAAGCAGATTAGAACAAATCAATGCAAGCAACACAGGATTTCAAAACAAGACAACAGGAAATCAACTGTGGCTACTACATTGTCTCGTGTTCTCCCCAATATAGTTGTCCATATCTTCATACATATTGAATTAAACAAAACAAAACAGTATAAAACTGATCAGAACAAATGAATGAAAGCATTACTGGCCTTTAAAACCAGACAATAGGAAAATAAATGATGGCTATCATAATGTCTCTTGTTCTCTTCAAAATAGCTGTCTATACCTTCACACATATTGAAGTCAAGTAATAGAAAGCAGATTAAAACAAAGCAAAGGATAAAAGCATTACTGGACTTCAAAACAAGACAACAGAAAATCAATGCCTACCATAATGTCTTTTTTTTTTTTTTTTTTTGCAGAACCTGGGATTGAACTCACAGCCTTATACTTATCAGGCAGGCACTTAGGCCACTGAGCTAAATTCCTGGCCCCAATGTCTCTTTCTTAAAAGTAGCTGTTCATACCATTACATGTAATAAAATCAATT